TCGTTTGGTACTGCCCTGCAGATCTTGGAGGCCCTGTTTCATTCTGTTTTTCATGCTTTGTCTGTCTGTGTTCAATCTGAATAATTTCTAATGGCTCATTTCTATGTTCATGGGTTCTTTGCTCTGTCCACAGTCTGCTAATGAACCATGATCTCCTGAATTTCCCTTTTGTTCTGTTCTATAGTTTGGGTGGTGTCAGTGATGGTAGAGGAGGGGCCTCTGAAGACCCTCTCTTCCATAAAAGCAACGAAGATGCTCAGAGCCTATTTTTTTTTTCAGAACTGAAAATTGACCAAAGGCTTGTAGCCATCCAGAAGGTCAGGAAAAATGGCAAATCTCAGTAAGGACAGCGAGGCTTGTGGCATTTCAGAATGTCCTGTTCCCACCCTCCTCTCCCCAGCTAAGCAGTGACCTTGAAGAGCAGCACACAGGCTCATGGTGAAGCCCGGCAGCCTGGGCAGAAGAGGACGGTGTGGGTGTCCGAGTCTCTGTGACCCCCTTGGACTGTAGCCCGCCGGGCTCCTCTGTCCATGGCGTTCTCCGGGCAGGAATACTGGGATGGGTGGCCGCCCCCTTCTCTGGGGAACCTATCTGACCCAGGGGGCGGGCCCAGGTCTCCTGCGTTGCAGGCAGATCCTCTGCTGTTCGGGCCGCCGCCGCCGCTGAGGCACGTCAGTTGTGTCTGACTGTGCGACCCGTCCCTGGGATTCTCCAGGCAAGACACTGGAGTGCGCTGCCACTTCCTTCTCCAATCTGAGCCACTGGGGACACCCAGAACGGACTGGGAAAGGACTGGAGTCCTTCGGAGCCCCATCCCCAGAGGTCAGCTTCCTTTTTCCTGCCTGGGGGTTTCCTGGAGGGCCCCACTCACAAGGCTAGCCTTATCGGCTATTACTCAGGTTGCCCAGTGGAAGCAGCCTTTCCCCTGGGGGCGTTTGCTGTGAACCATCAGAGCCCGTTGTTGAACATTGTGGCTGCCTGACAGGTGGGGGACAGTTTGGTGCAAACAGTGGGGTAACCCAAACGCTCGGGAAGAAAACCTAGAGAAAGAAGGGATGTAGGAGGCTCTGAAAAGTTGCTGACGTTTTCCTGAGAAGCTGGAGGCCTCCCCCGCTGGGTCGGGCAGCCCTCGGGGAGACCTCAGGCCTTGCACACTCAGACACGCCACGCCAGACAGTCAGAGGCCGTGCTCAGAGACAGGGTCTTGGGCCAGCAGGGGCTGTTGGCCTCGGCGAGGGGGTGAGGGGGGTGCCCGCCTCCCCATGGGACGTCTCCGCCGCTTCCCCTGTGGTGCCCACCCTTTCCTGCTGGATTCTCCGGCGTGTTAATCATGGTTATTTTAAAGTCCCTCTGCGTTAACTTCAGCATCCGGACCATTGTCATAGCTGGCTTTGTTGAGTGTTTCCTCTTGTGGTGCATCTTTATTGCTTTGTGTGTTTAAACTTTTGATTGAATGCCGAACCTTCTGCGTAAACAAGTCAAAACAGTGGGCCCCACACTATGTATTTATCTCAGTGAAGGGTTTTCTTTTGTTCTGTGAGATCCTTGATGTGGGGGGCTGGGTCTCTGATAAGTGGCATATAGTAGGGTTTCCTTTTTCTTTTCTTTTATCCAAAGTGGAATTTTTTTCTTTAAGGGTAAGATTATTTGGTTTGCGTTTTATATTAATTGTTCACAGATAACAAGTCACATGTTGAGTGGTTTTAAGCAGTGACCACATGTGACGGTGCAGATGTGTGACTGTGCAGTGACCACGTGTGACACTGCAGTGACCACGTGTTATGGCACAGTGACCACGTGTGACCATGCAGTGACCACATGTGACGCTGCAGTGACCACGCAGTGACCACATGTGATGCTGCAGTGACCATGTGTGATGGCACGGTGACCACGTGTGACGGCGCGGTGACCACGTGTGATGGCACAGTGACCACATGTGACGCTGCAGTGACCATGTGTGATGGCACAGTGACCACGTGTGACTGCACAGTGACCATGTGTTATGGCGCAGTGACCATGTGTGACCATGCAGTGACCACATGTGACGCTGCAGTGACCATGCAGTGACCACATGTGACGCTGCAGTGACCATGTGTGATGGCGCAGTGACCACGTGTGACCATGCAGTGACCACTTGTGACAGCGCAGTGACCACGTGTGACTGTGCAGTGGCCGTGGGGCTGCACTGGTCATGGCTCAGCCCTTGCCCTGGCCTCTTGTGGCCGCAGTCTTGTTCCAAGCCCGCCAGGCTGTTGGGCCGAGGCTCCTCAGCTCCGTGCTGTGGGATTATCCCTAGAAGGCAGCTTGTGACCCCAGGTGGGTGGGCTCCATGTCTGTGGGTGAGTGGGGGGTGCTGGACTGGGACCATGGCTGCAGCCTCCCTGGGGCCTGCCGCCTCTCGCCCAGCCACCGCTACGTGTCAGGGTTTGGGGGTCACTCCAGGGCCAAGCGCAGGGCCCCGGGACCCTGGGGACCCTCTCAGAGGCCGCGATCCCTGATTCCTGCAACCTTGTGTGGGCTCTTCTCTTCTTCCCTCTCCTCCCCTCCTCTCCTCCAGCCCCCACGCCTGCCCCCCACCTGCTCAGACCCTCTGCCCCCTCCTCCTCTGCTGCCGCCCCCCAGCGCCCCCATCCTCAGCAGACACGGGGCCCTGGGCTCAGCTCTGTGCTCCGCCTCGTCTCCCAGCCCCTCTGTCATGGTGTCGGGGGGCGCACGTCTCTGCTGAGCCCCCGTTTCCTCTGCTGCCCTCAGCTTGGGGCTTGTCGTAGACATTTGGCTCCTTGTTTTGAAGGAATTTTAATTTATAATATTTGCCTGTGTGGGGGCTTGCCTGTTTCATTAATTCTTATTTTTTAATGAGAAGTTCATTTACCTTTTTAAACACCTTAAACTTACATGTTTAAATTCCTTTATCAACTGGAAATTTGAACACTGGGTGAATATTTGATAATGTTAAGTAATTCTTCTTTTTTTTTTTTTGGTATGCAGTGCTGCTGGTTCTGTTTAGAAAAACAGAAGTTCTAATTTGTTAGAGAAATACTGACGTGTGTGAACGTGGGGTGATCCACTGTAGGGACCTGGGGGACAGAGGGTGGGCACCAGAGACAGAGCAGGATTTCCCCTCATTTATCATCTGGTGTTTAGTGATGGCTGTCTGGTTTTTCAAAAGTTATACATTTATATTATTCAATATATTTTAATATTATTGTATTATCTGGGTTTATTTAGTATTATTTTAATACAGTAACACATTTTTACATAATAAAAAGTTTTTAGAAGTCCCGTATCAGTGTCCCGTCACGTGAATCTGCAGTGACTGCTGGTTTGCTGACAGCCTTTCTGAGCTTACACTTCCTCATGTGTTTGGAGTTTGGTTTGCAGGCTTGTTGTGAGTTGAAACTTTGACTGTGGCCTTTCTTTGTTTCTCTGTTTTCTTGTCTCGTTGCTGAGCATGTTCATGGTGGCCTGCACCTGCCCCGGTACAGGCCCGTCCCACGCTGCCCAGGTATGGCCTGGGGTTCACGGGCCTGGAGCCTGGGCGTCTGGGCTGAAGGCAAGTCCGAGCAGACTAAGAACCACAGCCTGACGTGGGATCCTCAGAATTTTCACTGCAGCTTCTTGTTCTGGGGGAGCCCTGGGCTCTGGGGGTGAAGCTGGCCCCCTGCCAAGCCCTGCCCAGGCCTGTGGCTTCAGCCTCACCAGCCTGTGTGCCCGTCTGCTCTGCTGGACGTTCATATCTTGTCTGTGAGCACGGCCTGGCCCCCGTGGTTGTCTCCTCCGCGTGTTTGAAGCAGAGCAGGTGCATGAGTGTGCTCACCTGCTCCCTTGACCGCATCACGCATCATCCCCGCCCTTCCCTCCCCCTTGAGGGACCGTGACCTGTGAGCAGGCCTGCACAGTGGTGACGCTTTACTTCCTTGTTGGGCAGAGCGTGCTTTATTCAGTGCTTTTTCCCAGAAGACAGTTGGGAAGCGTCCTTAGGGAGATGGCTACTACCCTGCGAGCCCCTGGCCACTGCAATCGCCTGTTTTCTGTCCGCTGGGATCTGAGCCTCATGGACCCCGCCCCCTCACTGGGGCCCCACCCCTTTCTGGGGCCCCGCCCCAACCCCGCCCCCTGCTGCTTCTCAGGTCTGTCACATGGCAGCACCGCTCACATTCCGCTCTGACCTGGGGCCTCTGTGAGCTTGCTGTGGACTCTGTCGTCTGTCCTCCAAGCCTGGTCCCCGTGTGGCCGCTGTTCTGGGTGCCGTCGCCTGCTCTTTCTGCAGCCCCTGCGCCAGGCCTGGCCTCGGGGTTCTCAGGCGGAGGCGGGCTGGAGTCCCTGACCTGGGAGGGCCCAAGGGCTCCGGGGACACAGCCTCCCTGCGAGGAGCAGGACTCAAGTGCCTGCTCCGCCCAACGCGGCATCCCTGTGCTGAGGCCTGCCCGGGGTCGGGGGCTGTTGAGAGTCTCCCTGCTGGGTGAGGGTCGGGAGGGGCTGGCCGGGTAGCTAGGCCTCAGCCTGCCGTGACCCCGGGAGGCCCTCGGCCTTGTGCACCGGCCATTCTCTTTGCTCCGTCAGGAGGCTGAGGGCAGCTGCCCCCCAGACCTAGGACTCTGGGTTCCCACGCTGCTCCCTTCAGATCCCTGGCCCCAGACACACATGCTCAGCAGGAGGAAGACATCGGGCGTGATTTGGTGGCACGTGTGTGCGGTGCTTCCATGCTGTGAGCCTGGGAGCCGTGCAGCTCCTGTCCAGGCCCCATCTGCCCAGACTCGATCCCTGCTCCCCCGGCCCCCCGCCCCCTGTGGCTTTGAGCTTCAGGGCTGCACTGAAGCCCCTCTGCCTGTGTGTCATCTTGGGGTCCGGTCCCCCTCCTGCACCCGGCCGGTGCGGGGAACACACTTGCACACGTCAGTGCCGCAGGGCCCTCCCTGGGTGGCAGGTGGCGGCCTCGTACCGCGTGGGCTTCGGCTCCTAAGTCGCCAACAGCTGACTGGATTCTGCTCTCCCCGCAGGCCAGGGAGCTGGAGAGCCAGGAGGCAGAGCTGAGACGCCGCGATGCCTTCTGCAAGGAGCAGCTGGGGCGCCTGGAGAGGCAGGTGGGTCCTGGGGGTCCAGGGAACTCGCCCCCGCGGTCTGCTCCTGGAGGAGGCCTCGCATGCAGTAGCCTCATGTGGTTGCTGATGCTCCGGGGGCGGCGATCAGCGGCCCATCCTGCTTTCCTGAAGGTGGGCCTCTGAAGTGAACGAGACGCGGAGACACCACACCTGCCCCCTCCAGGCCCACAGCGACCCTTGGAAAGCCGGTCATAACTTGCTCACTGTTTGGGGGGCTTGCTTTGTTGATCGTGATGGCATTTTCAGACGAATGCCTGAGAACGTGGCGGGGGATGGTTGGAAGGTGAGCGTGTGGCTCTCCCTGTGCCTGAGCCCAGGGCCAAGCCCCGGTGCCCACCGTCCGCTGGAGGCTCTGTCTCAGTTTGGAGCTTTGAGGCTGGCGGTGTCTCGTGGGCTTGACTGCAGCCTGTTCCGTGGAGCCTGGCCGTGGGGCAGGAGAGTGCGCTGCCTGCTCCATGGCTACCCTCCGGTGCCCTCGGTGTCTGGGGGATGCCAGCGTGTGAGGGGTGCCGGCAGCGGGCCACCCTCCTCTGCTGCGTCCTCAGCACCCTGTCCGCCTGCCCCATGTCCTTGGTCACGTCCAGACTTCCTGCTTGTGCTGAGAGGCCCTTCTAAGAGGGGTCTGCGTGCCCGGTCATGGGCAGTTATTGAAAGCGTCCAGGAGCCCTGTGAAGATGCTTAGACACCAGCCCTTCGCACGACAGGAGCTGGGGCTCTGGGGGGAGGCAGAGGGGCTGGGGCGGGCTGGGGCAGGCCGGGCGGGCCTTCTCCGGGGACAGCTCTGTTTCTGTAATGGGAGCTGTTGCTGTTGTATTTCTGTATAAATGCGGCCTTGTTTGTTGAAGGCTCAGACCTTGACATTCTCAGCTTCTGTGCACAGGGCTTCAGGGACTGGCTGTGTCAAGCTCCTCTTTTTTCCTTACGTCTCCTCTTACGCTTAGACACTGATGGTGGAAACCTGTTTAGGGGCATTGGAACCGCAGCTGGTCATCCTGGACTCCCAGTAGCTGGGAGCTGGTGGGCGGGGGGCGGTGGGAAGGTCAGGCTCTTGCCCTGAGGACACCGTCTGACCCACTGCGCACTCGGCATTGTTGGGCAGGAGAAGGCAGGGAGCCGCGGAACGCGGCCCTGTGTTCTGGGGAGCGGACTTCGTGACCCCTGTGTCCTTGCTGGTTACTCTGTGGGATGGCTCGGCCTGTGTGGTATGTGGTGGCGAGTGTGGGAGGCGTGTGAGGCCCCCGCAGGAGCCCTGTGTGAAGGGCCCGCATCCCGCATGGACGGTCTCCTGTGAGCATGCCCCTGTGGGAAAGGCCCGGGTCTCCCGGCTCGTTCCTCTCCCGGCCTCTGGGTCCCCGCGCCCCATCCAGCCCTGCGTTTCCTGATGGCGGGACTGGCTCCTCCTCTGCCCTGTGCATCCTCGGCTGTCACCTGCATGAGGGGCGTCACCCTGACGGTCTCCTGGCCCGGTGGCTACGCCCCGCCCCCGTGCATGGTTCTCACGGCCTTGTCTGCCCTGCGCCTCCTCGCCCCGCCGTGGACGTTGCCTGCTCAGGCCTGGTGTGCCGTCCCTCTCCCCTCGTCTGGCCCAGCTCAGTCCCCCGGCCCCTGCCCTGGCTCTGCCCCGATGTGGTCGTTTTGCCCCGCTGAGCGCCAGGTCAGGACACCGTTCTTACAGGACGCAGAGCAGAGAGGTGGTGGGAAGGGCCCTCTGTGGACGGCAGGCCCCGCGCAGGCCCCTGCAGAGGGCAGCCCGTCCCACCTCCATCAGCAGCAGCTCAGGCCCACCTCCAGACAGTAGACGTGGGGCCGGGCAGGCTCTGCTCCCACGGCGGGCAGCCGGCCGGTGCTGTCCAGGGCTCACGTGGGGCTGTGTGTTCTGCAGGGACACCGGGGCTCCTGGTGGCATCTTACCTGGAGCCGTTCTGAGTAAATCCAAGTGTCTGCCGGGGTCTCAGAGGCCTCAGAGTTACAGGGTCCTGGCTTTTCAGCTCAAGCAGAGGGAGGTTGGCTTATTCACCCGAGTGAGAGTCTCAAGAAAGCACATTTTACGTGAGGTGCTTTGGGATGTACGGAATTCCGGCCTGCCCCGCCTCTGGGAGTACTGTCCCTGTGGACCCTGTGGGCCTGGCTTCCTGCCTTTCTCCCAGGAGGAACAGAGGCCATCCCACCTCCTGTTCAGAGGGTCACACCTGGCAAACGTTGAGCACGTGCTGTTGGCCTCTGATGAGAACGCCAGGTGCCCGTCAGGTAAACACAATGTGCAAGCACCTGATGCTCGGGGCTGGTGGGGGTAGTGACCCGGACTGTCGGGACCGTGGGCTGTGCGAGGCGGCAGGTCTCCCCCGGACCCTGGAATAGCACTTTGGAGGTCTTCTGTTCTATCAGTGGTGCCCTGAGCATGCCCCCCCAACCCCACCCCATGGTGAGCATGTGACCTTGAGCACGTGGTTAAGCGCTGTCCAGGGTGTTCCTGCCCTCTCCTGTGACCACCCTCCAGGGAGGGGCCTCCTAGGAAACACACCCGCTTCACAGAGATGGTCTCACAGCAGACTCTAGTCGAGTCTGCCCTGTTTCTTCTGGATGACTCTCAGATGTGTTAACCATGGAAGGAAGAATGAGAACCATGAGGAAAGTCAGAAAAAACCTGCCTCAGTAGAATTTAAAGAGGGAAAGCAGGCAAGTGACTCAACAGATGGAGGAGTTGAGCAGAAAGCAGAGAGTGGGTTTAAATGGAATCCGAGAGGCATCTGAGGGGTTTTGAAAGGGAAACATGCAGATTACGAAGATTTTAAGTTGCTGGGCTGTGAATGATTAACTGCTGGCTGAGATTCTGAGGCCAAAATCTTGCGTCTGTTGAAATGAGAAAAACGACAGTGGTGTTCGAAACTCCTCAGTTTTCAAAAAGAAACTCAAGAAGGATAAATCAGAAACTAAGATTTTTCCCTACAAGCAAGGAGTGGGAATGGGCTCAGAAGACAGGGAGGGTGAGGGACGTCTCTGAGCATATTTTTTTATAAGTAGTTTGACATTTGAACCATGTTGCTATTTTGCTTATTGAAAAAATTAAATCAACAGAGATGGGATTAAAAATTAATAGAAACAGAAATAAATGAACCCAGCTGTCTGTCAGGCAGATAGCAGCCTGCAGAGAGGGAGTACCCCGGGGGGGCATGGCCAGGTTCCCCTTCCCTGCTCCCCACCAGGGGCAGCTGGGAGCCCTGGATACGCTGCGTGCCCCCGAGGGCTGGGAGGAGCAGCAGCAGCGGGGTGGCCCGTGTGCTCCCGCGCCCTCCCAGGGACGGCCTGTCAGGCCCACGCTCGTGGCAGATGGCGGGCTCCTCCTCCCCCAGGTTAAGAGGGAGCCCCCAGCAACACTGGAGGTTAGGGGGTGGCCCCAAGAAGTGTTCTGCATCCCTGGGGGCCAGAGACTCATTTCTTCCTGTGAGGACCCCACGTGGCTCAGCACCACGCCGGGGGTCCTGCCCCAGCAGGACTGTGGGGCAGCCAGGGGCACTGGTCCGGGAGGAGTGCTTCTCCCTGCGGACCAGAGGGAGGGTCCTTGCTCCCACCTGGACCATCTGTGAGCCTCTGGCCAGCAGGGCCCCTGGTCCCTGTAGGCCAGAGACGCCTTCCCACCTGGAACACTGCGGGGCCAGGCACTGCCAGAGGACCCCCAGTGAGTGGCTGGTGGGGAGCGCTTTCTGCCCCAGGCTCTCAGAGGAACCAGGCGGGTGCAGACATGCTGTCAAGGCTCTGTTCCCAGATGCCGAGCAGATTCCAAAGGAAACCCAAGGGAAGCTGCACCTCCCCTCACAGTCGTGAGATCTCTGAAAACTAGAGACAGGACTTGAAAGCAGTCAGGGAAGATTGGTGTTCCTGACACTGATGGGATGAGTGGCGGAACCCCGTCTAATATCACTGAGGCCGGAAGGAAGTGAGTATTCTGTTACCAAGTCCTGAAAGAAAACTCTCAACCGTGAATGCTACACCCACCAAAGCTATCCTTCAGCAGTGAGGAGGAAATGACGTTCTCAGGCCATAGAGAGCTAGAAGAAGATGTGGCTGCCCAGTATACCTGTATAGAGTGGCAAAGTAAGTTCTTGAAGCAGAGAAAACGATAAAAGAAATAATTTGGGAATATGAACAAGAAAGAAATAACAGAGAACAAGTTAAAAATTCAGATAAATACAAGATTATCTTTTGTCACAGTAATTTTTAAAATCATATTTGATTGTTAAAAAAGGTAACAAGTTATGGTGTGAGACAAATGCATGTACAGAAATGCATACACACACACACACACACACACAGTCTGCATCTGTCCAAGCAGACTGTGGACAGTGGAGAAGGCAAGGGAATGCAAGTGAGGCAGGGACCGCAGACCTTACTCTGGGAGGGTGAGCGTCAGGAGCAGCAGGTTGTACGTGACGTGTGTGGTGATGTTACACAGCACAGCCGCTGAGAAAGTCAGATGAAGCAGTCACTCAGACACACTGTTGATAAGTCAGATGTTTAACCCACAGGAAGAGAGAAGAGAGAGACAGGAGGAACAGAGAGGACAAACAGAAAATGTGTGATGAACGGGTAGGCTCAAGCTCTGGCTGCCAGTAATCATGCTAAAGGTGAATGACCTAAATAAAGCGCTGAGCCCTGGAGGCTGACAGGGGAGACCTCTCTCTCTCTCTCTCTCTCTCTCTCTCTCTCACACACACACACACACATGCATGCACAGAGCTGCACTGTCTATAGGAAACTCAAGTACCGTGCCAGGTGAAAAGTAAGGGTGAGAAAAGATGCATCATGTAAACATTGATCCGAAAAACCATAGGAGCAGTCGTTAATATCAGATAGAGTGCTTCAGAGCAAAGAAAGTCACGAGGCACAAGGGAGGGTGTGACCTGATGAAAGGATCGGTCCACCAGGAGGGCACTGCGATCCTCGCTGTGTCTGCACTGAAGAAGAGTGGCTTCACCTCCATGGGG